TCGACGTTCTCCTCCCGCTGGGCGGGCTCGTCTCCGTCCCGTTCATCGGCACCATCCTCGACTCCGCCCACACCCCCTCGGTGCTGCTCACCCTCGTCACGACCGCCACCCTGATCGGCATCCTGGGCTGCATCCCCACGGAGGGAGCCGGCTACGGCAACATCGCCCTCTTCGTCCTCTACCGCCCCTTCTACTACACCGCCGTCTCCGACTACGCCGCCAAGGTCTTCGGCTTCCAGACCTTCGGCAAGGTCTACGGCCTAGTCATCTGCCTCGCCGGCCTGGGCAACTTCGCGCAAGCCGGCCTCGACGCCCTGACCTTCACCGTCTTCGACCGCGACCCCACCCCCGTCAACGCCCTGCTGACCATCACCACCTTCCTGGTCGGGATGGCCCTGGTCACCTTCGTCAGCTGGCAGGCCCGCCGGATGGCGGCTACCCGCGGAAAGGCCGGCGCTGCCGCCACGAATGGGACCACGGAGGTCGCCGAGAGTGGTCTCAGCGTTCCCGGCATCCATGACGGCGTGGACACAAGGGATTGGGGCCGCCAGCAGCAGCAGCAGCAGGGTGAACGCGAACCGCTGCTCCGACAAGGCAATGACACATCTGCTTCCTACGGGGGCACTAGACCCTGAAAAATTGACGACCTTGATGATGATGTCTCTTTTCACCTACTACGGTAAAGAGGGAAGAAAAACCACAGGCGGCTCTTTGTTCATCTATTTTTGGTGTCCCCCGCTTCGGTTTAGCCCGGTACAGGGTCACACAGCGTACATCTGCAGCATTAGTTCTTCGCCCCAGAGATGTAGTCTTAGCCCAGATTCTTATCGCTTTACATTTGTACATGATTTGATAAAGAATGTATATCCAGCAGCATCACTAAGAATTACTCGGTCATCAAACTCCCGAGGGGTTTCAAATTAGGTTGGTTGAATATATCTATATATCACAGTTCCACGTGGGAAATAGAAAAGAAAAGATCGAGATTCTGTCACAGCAACAAGGAGAGACAGTTGGAAGAGATAAGTAAAATGAAATAAGGATGAGGCGGCTGAAAGAAGTAGTGGTTATGTGAAAAAGAAGGGGTAAGAGGTCGATAGCAATGTTGCGCTGGAATGGTCTCTCTCTTTGCGCGCTTATGCTTTTCGCCATGGTCGTTGGCTGCGTCGTAACCTTCGTAAAGTCATATAATATACCTACAGTTCAGGAGGGCAGGGGGTTGCGGGGGAGGATTCCGTTTGTCCGGCTTCCTCCGCGTTCGGTCTGGATTTGGGAGGAGACGGTGTTCATGGTCAGGATTTCATGTTGAGCCGATGAGAGCGGGCGGTGAACGAATTGATGAATGTGGAAGTGTAGAAGCCGGGAGGAGAGCATCGTGGGATAGGTGTATGCTTGGAAAGAGTCCCCGTGGTTCATGATGATGAGGGGCCGGACTGCCTCACTTCAAGCCACAGTTTGCGACCCCCGCGCTCACAGGCCCGGTCGTACCAGAGCATCACACGTAGGACCTTTCGTGCTTCGTCCCAGGTGTGAATGCCATGGCTTCCGGCCACTTGACTGATGAGCTCAACATACCAGGCGCGTTCGGGCTGGTCTTCCGCAGCGATACCGCCGAGGATCAGCACCCAGAAGAGAGCGATACGAGCCTGTGGATGGTCCCAGGAGAAGGGTGCTTTGGAGATGTGCAAGGCTTCCTGAATGAGCTTGGCAAGTTGAGAGAGGGGTGCACTCTGGGCTTGGAGTGGTAGCACCACGCCGACACCGAAGATGAGACCGGCCAGCCGGCAAATCTCATACATGACCTCATGGGGTTGGTAGTTCGCAAACCTGTCAAACTGGCTCACTGCAGGGAGGGAAAGGAGGTTGTAGTGCACCCGATTTCGTTGATCCGATAGCAACGAATAGTCAGGGTTGTGGTGCTGCGTTGTAACGTGGGCCTCAACAAGTTTGATATACGCCTGCATGCCGTAGAATACCTCCAGCATGTCTGATGTGAATCCGATCTCCCGCAAAGGACCAAACCGACGCTCGACATCAGCCATGCTGTAACCCAGCATATCCTGCATTGTGAGACCTATCCGCTCTCTGCGCAAGGGCATAAAATCGAACACAGGCGGCAAGAGGAACGTGCTGCAAGTGACGAGATCGGAGAAACACAGAGTAGGTGCGAGTCCGGGAAGAGTCAGGTTCTCAAGACCTCCACGCATGTTAACCATCTGAATTAGACCTCTGATATGCACAAGGTTAGGCGGAAGACTGCTATAGATGTCCAACCACTGCAGGCGTTGCATCGGAGCGGTGAAGGGCAGCTTCTGGCCCTTGATATGCTCGTTGTTGGCAACGTTGTGTGCCATGCAAATGACACTCAGAATAACCGCATCGCACATTGCCCGAGTGGGATCGCTGACCTCCCGCGTCACATTCCGGATGGTTTCTGCCTCGCATAACTGCAGCATTTGCTGCTCGGAGGGTAGGAAAGCATGGTGTGGAATCGTGCCTTTCAGCCATTGGACTCTTTTGTGAGATAGTGAACCGAAGACAAACGCTGTGAACAAGGTCGGGTCGGATAGTGATAGTGGAAACCAATTGGTGCTAGCCGGACTCGAGTCGTTGCCGGGTGAAACGGGGGTGAGGCCGGGCCACAGGACCTCAAGGCCTATAACGAAAATGTTAGTTTGCTGGACGTGTAGCTACTGCAAGACTCACGAACAATAGTATTCAGAGGCGACAACTTCATTCTTCCCCATGTTCAACAGGTTCAAAGGATGTGTTTGGAACGGATCGAATCGACCCGCGCCGAATGTATGAACATAGCCCGGGGCGAGACATGAGACTGACGAAGTCGTTGTCAATGCTTGAGATGCCTCATCCGACCCTGAAGAACTTTTCCGTGTATCTGACATCCCGGATCGCGACTCCTGCGGAGAAGGCCAAGGAAAATTGTCCGGATAGGATCGCTCGACATCATTCATTATGTGATCCACCGGACTCCGGGACGATGATCGGAGGAGTTGCTGATTGACAGGATTCGAGGACGTAAACTGGGTTGCAGGTGAGGAATCATGCGCAAACTGACCAGGAAGATGAGGCGGGGGCGACGGAGAGGATGAGACGGAGGAGCAGAGCGGAGAAGTGGCTGGAGGCGTCGCATATTGTGATTCCGACGAACCGGTCTGATCAAAATATATAGCCGACCCCTCGCTGGAGGATGTGGATTGGCGAGTGACACTGCGACTGGTGGTGGTAGTGGTGGTGTTGGCGCCAGTGTTGGGGTGGCAGCCAGCGCTGGGATTTGGACAGTCCGGGACAGTCGAACGATCCTTGGTCTGGTCCGAGATCCATTTGCCCACATGGGCGCGGACGAGGCGCTGAATCTTCAGACGCTCATTCTCAGAAGTTGGACGCGCATTGACGAAGTGAATGGCGTCCCTTTTGCGTCCGGAGGTGGCACGTTTGGTGGAAGTCATTTCTCCGAGGTCAAGAGTACAGGTATCGACAGAGACCGCAGTTCAGAGCCGAAGCCAGGAACAGCATCCTGTAGCTCCAACTAGGCAAGTGTACACGGATATCGATGGCAATTAATCCTTTGATAGTAGCGCCACAAGGCAAAAGTTTTGCAGGACAGATGGGGAGGACGAGATTAGGGGGAAGGTTGAATTGAGATCGAGACCGGAGACCGAGACCGAGACCCGAAGAGCAGGAAGGAAAAGTGTGGAGGGGAGGGGCGAATAATGTGGTGATTGGCGAGGGTCTAGATCGGTAGCGGGAAAACGAATTCTGCAGGCGGTGTTGGATGTGGATATGGAGGAACTGACGGAAGGACTGAAAGTAAAGAGCGAAGGAGGGTGTCAAAACAAAAGATCTCAAGGAGGACGGAGGGGAGAGGGAGATAGGAGGGGGGGGGGGGGGAGAAGAAGAGAAGGGGAAAAGGGAAGAGGAAGAAGAAGACGACGAGGAGGAGGAGAAGGAGGAGGATGTAAAGGGAATGGGCGTTGGAATTGAGCTGAGAGAGGGAAGAGAGAAGAGTAAAGAGAGAAGAGAGAAGAGAGAAACGGGTAAAGGGGAGCAGGACAGAAGCCGAAGAAGCCAAACAGAAAGCGGCAGGATCTCCCAGTGACGATCGCCCGATCTTCAGGTTCTGCTGTTCTTCCTTCTCTTCTTAGTTTAAGAACAACCACAACCACAACCACTACCACTACCACTACCACTACCACGATTTCCAGCCTTTCTCAACCTTCTCAACTGATCCTTTCAAAGCTAAGGTCTGCCACAAAACTCAAGGCCTAATGTATAGGCTTATCGGCACAGACCACAATGTTGAACACTCTTAAAATAACAACAAGATCAAGACAAGAACAAAGTTAAGAGAAAGAAAGAGACAGAGACAGAGACAGAGAGTGGGAAAGAGAAGGAGAGAGCGAGAGAGTGAGAGGTGAGAAAAGATAATTGAGTCAAAACATCTCTCATGGTTACATCCTCATCCTTGCATTTCATTCAAACTCTTTCTCCTCAAATCTTCTTTTTTAAAGTCCTCTCCCACTTGAAAGAAAGAATCAATTGTACCCCTTCTCTCGCATTCAATCCCTGGTTCTTCAAATCGTTCGGGTCATTTTTCTTCATCCCAGGGTCTGGACTCCGCGGAGCCACCGGTTGATGTGGGGGGTAAAGAGAGGAAAACAGTATCAGTTCCGAGACTCGCGACGCTCCGTTCGCTTCTTCTCGACTCTCGGTTTGTTGTTGAGGGGTCTAGGATCAGATTGGAACTTGACGATCATCATCTAGTAACGAGCGACCGACGCTGCCACTGCGCCATTTGGTCGGCACTCGGACTGTCACAGACAACAAGTGATTGACTTCATCCCGATCAACCAATAAATAGAGTATGACGGGCGGCAAAAGGACAAGCCGACAAGTGATCCATGGTCGGGAAACGAGATGTCAAAGTTACCAAGGCAGCTACATTGCGGTCCATCCGAGGAACCCATGTTCACATGCACATGTGTACGACAAGCCACAAGATCTACTCAGCCAGTTTTCGGTACATGCCAAGGAGCATGCAAGGATTCGTAGGTGCGTAAAGCAGAAGAAAATCGCCCATCCTGTGGTTCGCTCTACAACAGGAATAAGTACAACGAGGTCTTGAATGAGATCCAGCAATTCACAGATAGGCTCTCTAAAACATGAAACCAAACACCGGAAACTCAGTCCAGCTCGATCAAGGGGTATCGTCCGCCCTCGCCGGTCAAAGGATCCTGATACTGGTCCAGCGCCGCCTCAACCGCCGCCATATACCCAAGTACCTTCTCCTCCTGCCAGCGCCGACCGACTACCTGCACCGCCGTCGGCAATCCTGCCATCTTGGTAGCATCGTAGTGCTTCCAAGCCCCGCGAGAGAGTGCGCCGTCAGCTCCCAGCTGCTTGAGAACCTTCTTGTACGGTCCCGGTAGAGCATCCTTTTTCGCATCGACATGCGACACAGGCATAACACCCGCCGTATAGTCCAATAGGTTCCAGAGGAAGGTGTATCCACAAGATGACACCGCATCGTGCATGGCTTTGTGCGGTAGAGCCGGGGTGGCGTTTACAGAGCACAAGATGAAGTCGTACTGCTGTGTCGCGCCATCCCACCAGGCGTGCCAGGTGGCACGGAAGGATTCGCGCTGCGCGGTGAGCTTCCAGAGCTCGGCTGCCGATTTGGGGCCAAAGGTACGAATCAATTTAGCCCACTGGACGTCGCGGCGGATGTAGCGCACCCAGAGGTAGTAAAGGTACCGCAGAGGACGGGGCAAGTTAGAAATCCGGGTAAGTTGATCTGCGCCCGGGTCGGAGGGTTCGAAACTGTGCAGATGCGAGTTGAAGGTGACGCAACCATCAGAGTTCAGAAGCTGCGAGGCTAGATGAAGCCCTGTGAACGGGTCTGCCGTGACTGGTGGCTTAATCTCCGAAACTGTGTGGCCGGCCGCAACAAGAGCAGCGGTTGTCGTCGACAGGGCACGCGCAATGGCCGGGGTAGGGGGAATGACGCCTATGTGTGATTAGCCAGTGTCAGCCTGGTTGGTTCGGGTGGCGATGCCGATCCACTCACCATCGCTAGTCATCAATCCGATTCGAAGCTTCTTAGTCTGGGCCTCCTCCTCCTCCTTCTCCCGCCAATAGATGGGATGAACCGTGTAATCATACTTCCATGGCTCCATCCCCACAATAGCTTTTGTAAAGTAAGTCAGGTCATTCAAGGTCCTAGCCATGGGACTGAAGACACTGGGAATGCCTTCTTGGCCGGCCATGCTGGTGTGAACGCCAACCTTCGGCCACCGGCCAGTACTGCAGCGCAGGGAATAAATACCGCTCCAGGCCGCCGGGACTCGAACAGACCCGGCAACATCAGATCCGATACCGATGCGGCCGCCCAACGCCAACAAAGCACCTTCGCCCCCCGTGGAACCGCCAGGAGAGTAGTCGGGAACATGAGGGTTGAGGCACGGGCCCCAAAGAGCGTTGGCTGACTCAAAGGACAACAGGGTCACGGGCAACGCGGTCTTGGCGTAAGGCACAGCCCCTAGAGATGTTAGCCACGGCGTGCTGCAGCAGCAGTCCCGTCGAGAGAAAGGCCATACCAGCGTCTTTCAAAAGCTTGGTCATCGGTCCATCTTCCTTGTATGGCTTGCACGCGTACTTGGTGTATCCCAGGGTGGTATCAAACCCTTTAATCTGCAGCGAATCCTTCAGAGAGACGGGAATTCCCGCCAATGGTCCTTGGAGGTTGACTTCCGACTGGACCCATGATTCAGCTTCGGGCAGAAGCAGTTCTGTCACGCAGTTGGTCTTCTCATGGGCCTTGACGGCTACTTTGCCGTAGGTGCGGAGAACATCGAGGGGTGATACGGATTCCGCGTGCACCTCATCCACCAGCTCTTGTATCGGTTTGTTGATGATAACCTTATCGATCGCTGTGAAAGGGGCGTGATATTCTGCCGGCAGTGATGCGAATCTTGCTGCTCGCTCCCTCCGCTTGAAATCCCTGCCGCGCGATTTAGTATCCAAGCCAAGGCGCGGTGATTCACACATCAAGTAGTGTGTACTGTACTCATGACCTCGTGAAGAGGCATGACTGACTTACCGGAGGCGACGGTATGTGAAGTAATCGAAGGGGGGAAGCATGATGAGACGAAGACTCTTTCCGTCACTAGAGTCCACGAGAAAGGAAGAGTGTACTTGCACAAGATGAGGAGAAAGATTGAAAGCAAGGAGGATGGGAAGGGCGGCCTTTTATTATTGCGGGGAAGGACGGAGGAGATGCGGAGACATCGTAGCGATAAGCCCGCGCGCGGGTCCCGCTGATAAGCGTGGGGACCGCCCAAAGCTCGGATGCAGCTTGCGCTCGCGGCTGCCCATTGACTTGTCCATCCCAGGATGTTTATCTCGGGCTGTATGCCTATGTATGACGCGAGCACCGCGATTCAGAGCTCGACCTTGACCGACATCCCCAGCAAGCACATAACACAGGGAGCAGAATCCCGATCATGAGTTGCTGATGGAACAACTGGCAAACCCAGGCTACAGTACGTAGTGGAAATGACCGATAAGATGCCGGCAGCCGGCGCATGGAATGCCACATTGGGAAAGTCCATGCGTGGACTCGACTTGAATAAAGACGCGGCTGGACTTTCCACTGCGATACAGTCTGAACGTTTCCCTTTTTAAAGAATCACCAACATTAGATCACACCACAAAGCGAAATCAGCAACTACATGTGAATGCAACATTCAACGTAACGATACTCATCACAACGACGGTTGTCAGCTATTTGGGGATATTGCAACAGGACCAGCCCCAGCCCGCCGCCAAAAGAACGAGAGAGTATGAGAACAAAACCGAAATGAGGCCTGCTCATTCATGCCTAGCTAGAAAACACATATCCACAAGATACCTCTCTCCTCGACCCAGATCCTTAACCCCTTATCTGCCGCTACATCAAGCTGATCTCGGTGTCTCCCGTAGCCAGTGATGAGCATTGAGCCAGACAACCACCACGATAACGCCAACAACGAACAGCGCAATGAGGAAGAATATCAGAAAGCCGCAGAGGATGGTTCGTTTGCGTTTCCTTTCCTGGCCCTTGATCCAGTTATCCCTGTGAGAACCAGACGATCAGCATACGAGACGAGCAACAAGACTCTCGGCGAGAACTTGAAAGAGGAACAGCGAGACAACATACGACCATATAGTGACTTCCTTTTCCGGGGTGGAAGCCTTGGATTCCTCATCCAGGTGGATGGCAAGGGAGAAGCGTCGCCAGAACGCTGGGTCCCGATTTTGAGCCATCTTGCGTTTACTGATCGGTAGACATGGGCTTGAAGCGTGATTCGAAAGGGTCGGAACGCAAGCGAGGTCAAATGACAATCGAGAGGACGGGGCCGATGGTCGACCTATATTGCACAATCAGCATGAGCTTCAGCAGCTAGGAGGAAAGAACGTACCTGGTCACTGGCCCTTGGAAAGAGCTTCGAGCTGCTGGTCTACGCGAGCTCTGCAATCAAACACAACAGAAAAGAAGCAAGAATCAAAGAATAGGAAAAGGAGAGGTGTTGTTCGGTCAAGTTGAGGCTCGTAGTTACAATGAGAGACAAACAGATGGGTCGTGTAGGAGTAGAATAGAGATCTGGGTATGAGAGGGATCGGAGCGAGACCAGGCGACTACATTGTTGTTTACTTAGGAGAGGGCATCCAAACAATGGGCCCCGTTACTCGGAATCCTATGGTTCCAGGCGGGAATGGCAAGAGGAATGCAATGAGCGTCCATTGCAGTGTTACCTCCTCCCAATTATTGTTTGGAGATTTCATTCTGACAATTGTCATGACCAATCAGGGAGTAGGAATGGGTCATAATACATGCAGGTATTTCCCGGGGGGGGGGGGGGGAAAGAATGCCAGTGAGCAACTCTTCTGCACAACCTAAGAATAGAGTGATTAGCTATGTGAGTACACAATAGTTAGATACATAGTAAGTTACCTAGTAGGTAGCATGCATTCACCTACTTACTGTACAGTATTCTGTACAGTCATTATTATTATTATTATTATTATTATTATTATCATTATCATTATTGATTGACCCTCCTTGACCCAGTCAGCCCACTGATCTTCTGATCCAAGGGTCTCCGAGTGCCACAGGGGGCAAACTATGCATCTTGTTCGGGCGGATCATTTGCAGCCACTAACCTAGACGGAAGAACACGCGGTGATCTCAATGCCATTGAAGAGCATCCGTATGTACTCATACGTACAGTAGTTACTAGGTAGTCACCGTAGTAGCTAGCTATTAGCGAGTTAACTGACTGATTGACTGACCCCTGGCCCTGGTTCAGGCATGTGATGTAATTTATGCGCCTGTGAAGTACCTGCGTCCTCCGTACCACCCCTAAGTCTCGTGCATCTTGGTGGTCAGCTATAGTGAAGTGGGTATTACTCAAATTCTTCCTGATAAACTCGTAGAATGATGGTAAGTTGACTTGATTGTGGAGGTAGGGGGAAATGGATGCCTCAGGTGTTGATAGGAATAGAGGTCCCATGGTTGAGCAGCCGATCCCCGAATCATCAAGCACCACTCACTCCTCATCAGTACTTCCCCACTTCTTCTCTCCCATAAACTCTCCAGGCTCTCTCCCTCTCCTCTCTTTCTCATCCACCAAGCATAAAGAAGCACTCGAGGCAAAGTTTACGCAGAAAAAGACAAGACAAAAGCAAGAAAATGATTGATGACGCATGGTGATACAGCCGTGGAATGTCCGTCATTGTACGGAGTACTCCTCCCTACTCCCCCCCCCTTTCGCTGCTTGTCTGGTCGGTCACCTGCGGGGGGAATCATTCACCCACTCATTCAAGTTTAGTAGTCTAGTCCCTTCAACCAGGTGCTGTGGTTGGTATACCACTAACTTATACGGTACGTACTCGGAGAATCTCGACTGGCTGGCTTGTGCTAGTTCTCCCCAACTGGGCTTCATGCAGCATCATGGATCTGGTTTGCATCGGCTCTCGTCCAGCGTCAAATCCCTCCGTTCTCCACCCTCATTCGATTCGTTCCGCGTTCTTTACAGATGAGGCGGATTGAGTTGTCGACTTCACACTCTTACAGTGCCAACAAACAACAGCATTGAACCATTTTCTCTCTTTTGGGCTCCCCCGCAGTGGAGCATCAGCGAATGGGTGCCTGACCGCCCGGGCGTTGCCTGTCATTTTGAATTGACTGACCGCGCACTAAACCGGATTCAATGCGCCAGGCGGATCGCAAGGTGTTGTTGGCCGGCCTGCAGCATCACTCATTCACTCCCTCACGCACTCACCTCACCTTGTCGCTCAGTCTGCTGAACTTCCCTCTTCAGCCTTGCCCCTCCCGCTTGCTTTCCCCTCCGCATTCTTCTACCTCATCGGTCCCATCGATGCTCCGCTCATTGTTTCACTGCTGCTGCTGCTGCTGCTGCCAGATGTCCTTCCCGTGCGCCCAATCCCAGTAGCTAGGCCATGTGTTCCGCCCATGATCCGGGCGCGAGTTTCTGGGGAGTGTTGATCAACTCGGACAAGAGTCCAGCCCCGCTCCTTGAACAGCTCTGTTTGGAAATCGCTCATAAAATTGTAAGTCGGAGCTTGAGACACTGTATGCGACCGGAAAATCAAAGCTGAATCTTGGCTTCTCAATAGTCGTCTTTCGACGATTACGCAACGGCTGATCTCACGCCCGAACGCCTGGCCTCTTTCTACCGCAAGGTTGGCGGAAATTACGATGTGCTCTTTCTCCAAACTAAGCCTTCTGCTCTGTCCTTTATCTACCAGCGTCTCGGCTGCTTCCACAGTATTCAACCCACAAACGATGCATACAAACCCCCCGCGATCCCCGCTCTACAACCCAACGGCTTCGTACGATGGCAAACAATCCAATTGCTCCTAGACCCGGACGAACATTGCCGATACCTTCAGAATGCGGTCGAACTTTGGGATATTGAAAACCCTAGCGGCGGCACATTTCCGAAGACGATTCCCCGCGAAGCCTTCCCCGAATCGCCAGACCCAGAAATGGTGGAGTGGCACGAGACAGTCAGCCGACGGTTTGAGATGGACTATGTGAAGAAGAACATTCTCCGTGCATCGCCTCCGAGTTTTGGTACCTACCACTCTCAATTCAGTAATCACCATAAGGACGAGGCTCCGTCCCCCAAGGAGAAAAGAACGTTTCCCAGTCGCCGTAAGACAACTGCGCAGCGTGCCCATGTCGCTCCGGAAGAACCAGCACCTTCGAGCCGTCATCAAAGGCGCCGCAGCGGGGAGGTTCCCACCTCATCGACGCGCCGAGTACAATCCACTTATTTCAGTCCACCGCCACCTCCCCCAGAATTCGCGTCGCCCTCACCTCGGGCGCCCTCGCCACCAATGTGGGCTAAGTCATCTCCGAAGGCCCGAGGACGAGAACGCGGGCCCACCTTCTCACGCCCAGTCAGCCCAACTACTGTGCCGGGTCATAACCCCTCAGATGCCTCGTCAGAGGATTCAATAGCTGCAGCACAAGAAGCGGCCAATCGTCATAACAACCGTCATCTGCGTCCCTCGCATTCACACAGCTCCCATGCCCGTCGGCATTCACATGAAGCGTATGCACGGAAACCCCCGCGTGATCTCTCTCCTGAAGCACAGCGACGGACCTATACCCACCGCGACACGTTGAACTCTCACTCAGGGCGACCATATGACTCCGATGGGGGTCGCAGAAGAACCCGCCCGGCACGTGCATACGCCGAAGAGCCAATCATGCATCCCCGGACCCCGGGCCCTGTCTTCTACGAGACTGCCTTCAACGACCCTCCCGTCATGCCGATCAACCAAGAACTACCTCGATATTCCCATTCTCATTCTCATGCACATCCACCACCACCACCACCACCACCTCGTTATATGAACATGAACGGTACTCACCCGTACGTCGGACGTGCCCACCCTGACAGTGACATGCGCGTTCCTGTCGACGAGACTCGTCGAAGCTACCGAGCGTCCAATGCAAATTCAGGATACCCTAACCCCGGTGTCTCCGACCACACGGCGCGTTATTCTGGGAGAGATGATGGAGGCGCATACCGGTCACCGAGATGGGCCAACCCTGTTCCACCGCCCACGAGGGGCATTCCAGTGGGTATGCCAGACATGGAATACCCTGTTCGATCGAGACGGTCTATGTATGATCGATAAAAGGTTGTTCGGGACTTAGACACTATCTCCCACTTCGCGAGGGCTGTTGTTCCTCTGACTGTATAGTTCTGAGAAGTAGCCTTGATCCTCGCCACAATCAACCACGGTTATATTCGGAATCGACTAACATTACCCCCTTTCCTCCAATCCAACCTTTATTTTGCACGACGAGCATTGCTAGACATAGCAATATTGACATTGACATTCGCATTGGCGCATGGCAAAGAGTCATAAAGGTTCAGTTTCGGTTTCTGGGTAATAGAGCATTTGGGCTTGTCTGCTTTTCTTCACATGGGCGCTTGGTAATCTTTTGATATACATATCCCCTCGTTCCCTCTCTCTTCCCGCGTTGAGCTGGAGAAGACCCACCACTTCTATGATGTCACGACGTTACGACAGTATAAGCTTATGAAATCTGCAAGAGTAGAAAGGGCCCCGGGCGCTGTTAGGTTTGTTATACTCTATCAATCTGTTATGGATGTTAGCAGAGTAGAAAACAATAGTACATTTTGTACGTGGAATATGGTTATGACGATGTGCGGTGCTTTCCATACCCAAGGAATGTCCAGAATATGTAACAATAAATAATGTGTAGTGGCTCCGGCAGACGGGAGGTGTCTGAGGATTGTCGATGCCTGGTACCCACCGGCAAAGGCCTGAAGGGCGATTAGACCCCGCGTCGCATCTAAGTGCTGCCAGGCCATGAGTAAACAAACTTGTAGGGTATAGGCCTAGCTGCGTATCCTGACTGGTTAGGTACCGTAAGAGCGTCAAAAGTCGTAGCTCTAAACCAGCAAGATCTCCACCTAGTATGTAGTAGTAGTAGTAGTAGTAGTAGTAGTAGTAGTAGTAGTAGTGAGGTCGCCCTTGTACGAGGTCCGGATCTTAATTCCCGGGTTGGAGATAGGCCAGAGACACCGACTAGTAAACTGTGGCATTAATCCCTAACAAGGTAACTAGCCCGATCTTACCACGGTAAGAGACCATAGATAGTTCTGTTTGTTTGTGAAGTATAAGGTAGAACTCTAGATTCTCGGGAGGTAAAGGTAAGGGCTTATTTACTCATAAGGTCGTGGTAAAAGGGAAGGTAGCTGGTATGTCAAGAGATTTTCAGAAGAGATCAGTACTATATAATCTGGGTAGTTGTATAGAGTATCATCAAGTATAGGTGCAGTTTTAG